AAAGGCGAAACACCAAGCCCTCACTACAATCAAAACGTGGGATGATTCATCAAGTGAAGATAAATCCCAACACAAGAGGCTAGGCCACAAGCACTCATCATCAAGCTCTTCTCGTGTGTGCCTTATGGCATGAGGTAACGAAAGCTCATCCTCTAGTGAGAGTGATAGTGATGATGAAATGCCTTCTCTTAATGAACTTATGCAAGAAAATCTTAAATATGCTAAGGCTTCCACAAGCCAACAAAAGAAGCTAAAAATATTACAAGAAAAGCTAGATAGTTTACAAGAAACATATAAAATCTTGCTTGAACAATATGAGATATTTGCTAATCTCAATATTGAACTATTTACTAGAATTGAGCAACTTGAGGCTAGTGCAACAATAAATGCATGCACCATCAATGATGAGCAACTTGTAAAGAAAATTTAAAAATTAAAATAAAAGTTAGCTAGCTCACAAGATGCTTATAAAAGTTTGCTTGCTAAAATAGAAACCATGTGCAAACATTATGATGAGATAACTAATAAAGTTGCTAATTTTGAAGCCGTTGGTACAACCCTCACCAAGGCACCTAAAAAGAAAAGCTCAATCTTTGAAATGTCTAAAAAGGATGCCTTTACTTACAATGATTTATGCAATTTGAGCTCACCCATTTGCGATCAAGTTTGTTTTGAGAAAGTTGTTGTAGAAACATGCACAAAAGAGGTCGCAATGGAGAATGATAAGCTCAAGCAAGAAGTGGCTCGCCTCACCAAGGACTTGACTCAAGTGCAAGGCAAGACGGAGCAAACCCAACTTCATCAAGATAACACTGTCATGAGAGTGAAGAAGCTTGATGTAGGACAAACTGTGGTTTGCTACGTATGCCACAAGGAAGGCCATAAGTCCTATGAGTGCAAGGTGAAGAATAGGGGAGGAGCAAAGAAGAAAGAGAAAAACAAGAAACAAACAAGCAAGCTCTCCAACACCTACACCAATAAAGTGGACAAGAAAACCTCCACATCTTATCTCTTGAAGAAGAAGAAAAATGATAAGCTTTTGGCTATCAAGGTGAACAAAAAAGCCAACAATGGTACCAAACGTATTTGGGTGCCAAAGGAAATTATTTCAAACATGAAGAGCACCAAGAAAATTTGGATCCCAAAGGGGAAGTGAGAGTCTAATGGACTTCGAGAAATTTGGAGACTTTGGTATAGTTTGGGAGCATTTCATAGGGTACATCATGATGATCAAGGTAATTACCAAGTGGGTTAGTGAATACTATGGACCCAAAATCCCCTCCCCATGTTAGGTAACTAGATTTAATTTCTTACAATCTCAGTTAGCATCTAGTTCCTTTTCATGCCTAGGTTTGCATTTGCATGTTTAATCTTTTGTCATGCATACACTAGGTAAATCATATGGTAGACTTGCTCGGTATCACTCTTACCCTTGGAGCAAACCTACATGGTTTAAATTTCTTAGGAGCACGGCACATAGCTTGTTTTACAATTATTTATCTAATATGTGCCAAAGTCCAAATTATAGATAATTTTCCCTAAATATCATTCATGAAAATGATTCTCACATTCATGTGATGTCATCTTTCAAGTGGTATTTTGATTTTTAAAAATCAATGTGCATATCTTCTACGAGTATTCTATGCTTGTATGCACAAATTTAGGGGAGGTTATTCTACAAGTTGAATGATTTGAGACTAACATTCTTTTCAAGATTATTATGTGTGTAGTAGTCTCATTGCAAGAAAAATGGAGTCCCCGGCAATAAGCATAATGCTTCAAAAATCCACCACCCATTGCAAGTGGTGTCAATCAAATTTGTTTCTATATGTGGTATTCCTAAACCGATATCATCATGTTGATTTCAGTTTGGTATTTATATGCTTTCTCCATACATTATATAGATTAAACTCCCTTGTGCATTAATTTGCCAATTATTCATATACTTTTCCATCCACCATATGTGTGCATATATTTAGGGGGAGCTTAGTCTATGTAATGTGAGAGTCAAGTTTTGTGATCTATTCCACTCCACATACAAAGGATCACAAAAGTTGACCCTCCCTTGTGCTACTAATGTCTTCCTTTTCGGTGTTTGATTCCAAAGGGGAGAATTTGTAGGACCAAAAGCAAGCCCAACACATAGATCAAAGGGGAGAACCCTAATTGGGAATGGTCCGAGAAATGGAGATAGTGGATTATGGAGTTAGGGGGAGGCTTAAGTTCATAATGCCACTTGGGGACATTCGCAAGGGCAAGATAAGTTTCCAAAAGTTCATACAAGTGATATCTTTAGCATCGAATAAACTTGCCTTTGTGTTGCATTCTAGCAAGTAGATAGTTTTAAAATTTTCACATCTATTATTATTTGCTTGCTTTGGTCGTGTTGTCATCAATCACCAAAAAGGGGGAGATTATAAGAAAAATGGACCTCGGCCCATTTAGTTCGGATTTTGGTGTTTGATGATCAACATGACCAAGTTGAACTAATATATTTGTAAGTGTCTATTTTATAGTGCAATAAGATGCAAACGCGGATTGGACCAAGATTGGAACAAGAAGAATATGATCAACACTCAAAGGAAGACGCTAGAGGATGTGTGATCAACCTAGAAGTGAAGCTAGGAGTCCAAGACGCGAAGATGAAGAAGCCCGAAAGAAGGACCGCGAAGAAAAAGAACAAAGGGCAAAACTATAGTTGGCACCGCCATGTCCAGTGCATGGCACCGGACAGCACTGTGTGCACCGGACAGGGCATCAACCTATTTTTCAGCACGCGACACACTTTCGTATTTTGGGCATAGCTCTTAGCTCTGAACTCCGATTTAGATAATCTTGGACTTTTTAGAAAGCTAATGAAAAGCTCTACAGCCTTGAATATGTGGTCTTTGGTTTTGAGCTGAAGAGGGCACCACCATGGTCACCGGACTATCCGGTGGTGGCACCGTCCTAATTTTCCAGAGAGCACCGTTTTCGGGGGTTTGGCCTGGGTGGTCACCGCCACCTCTAGGGCGGTGCATCGCCACCCTATGTCCGGTGCCCACCTGTCCAACGGTTAGTTTGAAATAGCCATTGTAATTCGACCGTTGGGGCACTGCCACCCTATGTTCGGTGCCCGCACGTTGCGGTCCGGTGACAAAGCAGAAAAGTGGATCTCATCTCCAACAGCTAGCTCTCTACTTGGGGGCTATAAATACCACCTCAACCGGCCATTTGGAGTAGGAGGGAACTGAGGGAAGATAGGAGGGTATTGCCACACCTCATTTGTGCTCTCCACTTGCATAGGGCTTAAAGAATCACTTGGTGATTAGCGTAGGTACTTTGTAAAGTGATTAGGTTAGTTAGACCACTCTCATATGCACTTGCTCTAGGCTTAGGTCTAGTTGCCTTGCGAGGGGCTCTAACGAGGACTAGGGGGAAGCTTGAGCGCTTCTCGATACCTCAGTAAAAATGCTAGAGTCGCCGACGGGAGTTTGCATCTCTACCTCATCTTTACCTTTCGCATTTACATTGCTACCTTAGTTGTGTGCTTTACTTCCCTAGCTTAGTTGATAGGGTAGTTGATAGGATTAAAACCTAGGTTGCATAACTCTTTTACGGTAGAGATAGCAATACACCTAGCAAAACCGTAGTTGCACATTTATATATATTACATTCTTGCATAGGTTTTGACTAGGTGAAATTAAGAGCCTTAGTTAGAAGTAAAATTTTAAGTTGCCTAATTCACCCCCTCCCCCTCTTAGGCGTTATGGTCCCTTACAGGAGGGTCCCATGCCTCGTTTGCATTACCCATAATTTGTCTTAGAATTTTTCGGATACCTTATATTTTAGGACGGAGGTATAGGTAGGTTGAATGCAGACTTAGGAGGTTACTTGGCATTATCTTTCATAATGACAATGTTTGGTAATATATAAGATGTTGTTTGGTTACCTTCATTAGCTGATGTAATTTGTCTCACCTGTGAGGCTGATGTGTGGACCCTGCTCCTCATCCCTGCATCAACCGGGCCTAACTAGCAAGTGAAGCTCAAGTTGAACATCCCGCGAGTATGCATTCACATATACAATTGTATCCGCTCATGCAGACAAACCAAACACACCCTGTAATTTCATTCCTGGGTTTGGAGGAAAGTGCTCATAAACCTTGGAAAAAAAAGGTATTATTAAGGCTGCATACCTTGCTTACTAGCCAGTTTTATAATCTGTACTATTCAACTTATTTTTTCAACCAGAACAATTTTTTTTTCAGACAACAATTCAACCAGAACCATATTTTAGTTTATTTTTTCAGCCAATATGAGCCACGCGAACGGGCCATAACTGCATCTTGGTGAGTGGTTGCATCGTCGGTGCGCTATCTCGTTTTGGTCTCTATATATATTGACCTCTGAAGTTTGAGGCTTCTGCCGTATACCGTGAAGCTAGGTCTACCAAAGAGTAAAGGCACCCTGCTGCCCAAACAAAAAATAAATTACTAGTACGTACATACATTGAACAATGAGCATTATAAGCAAGTCCTCGCCGGTGGTCGTGAAGCCATCGGCTATGGAGATGCCCACCTGCAATGTCGTCAGTCTCTCGCCTTTCGACCGGGGCCTTGAATCCTCACCGGTAACATTCTTCCTCATGTTCGATCGTTCGATCCGCAAGCCAGCAGAGACCATTCAGACGGCGCTGTCTCTCGCGCTGGTCCACTACTACCCTTTCGCCGGTCGCCTTTCTCCAGGCGCCGCCGGCGATGGAGACTTCTCCATCCGGTGCACGGCAGATGACGGCGTGCTGTTCGTGGCCGCGTCCGCTGGCTGCACCCTGCAGGAAGCCCAGCTATTCGAGCTGGCCGGCGGGCAACGACACTACTAGACGAGCTCGCCGTCGACTACCCGGCGGCAAAGGGCTGCGGCCGCAACGACCCACTGCTGCTGGTGCAGGTCACCGAGTTCTCGTGCGGAGGATTCGTCGTCGGGATCACGTGGAACCACGTCGTCGCCGACGGTGCCGGGATGGCCCAGTTTTTGCAGGCGATCGGCGAGCTCGCGCGCGGGCGGTCCGCGCCGAGCATCGTCCCCGTCAGGTGCGACGACTCCATCCCCAGCCTCCCTCCACTCATCGCTACCGGACGGCGGCTCATGGTGTCAATGGAGCCACAAGACTTCACCAGCCTGGATGTCACCATCCCCTCGAGCTTCATCGACCGCGTCAAAGCCGAGTTCCATGGCGGCGGCCGCTCCAGCTCCAACATTTGTCGTCGGCCGTGCACCGTGTTCGAGGTGGTGACCGCCGTGTTATGGCAGTGCTACACCCGTGCCGCCATCTCGAACCCGGACGTCCCTTCCCTTCTCTGCTTTATCGCAGATGTCCGGAAGCATGTGGCGGCGAAGGACGGCTACTACGGTAACTGTGTCATCGGGCAGCTGGTCATAGCGGCGACAAGCGGAGCAGTGGCGAACGGGGACCTCGTCGACCTGATAGAGATGATACAGCATGCTAAGGACGAGATACCCAACAAGTTGAGGAGGGAGGAAGAAGAAGACAAAGGTGGAAATTGCCTACCGTCGACGGGAGTAAATCTCGAGCAGCTCTGCGACATGGTCCGGCACAATAACAACGTTCTCAGCGTTTCGTGCCTGCGGAACATCGGCCTCGAAGACGTCGACTTCGGCGGTGGGACGCCGGCGAGGGTGACGTGCCTCTCGCCGGTGATGTCCCTGCCGGCCTGCGTGCCGTGCCTGCCCTGCAAGGGAGGGACGGGGCCAGCGTATTGGCACGTTGTGTCAAGGAGGAGCAGGTCGACGCCTTCCTTGCAGAATTGGCAAAATTCACCTGACAAAGTTTCTTTGCTTTATGCTTCAGGATTCAATTCTGAGATTGCTACTTTGCTAGCAGCTGGTCATGTAATCCAACTATCTGTGCCTGGTCTTTGATACTGTCGTTTGAATCTGTTTTCTTCCAGTATTGCAATTGCTTGCATGCATCAATCTTTGAATGTTATGAAGATGGATTTATGGAAATAATAAGTTGTTGAAGCATGTGTAATGTTATGCACGGAAATACACAAATCGTGGAAGCTTATCATCGTGAGAACCACTCATTCATGAACAAATATCGAATTATCTTATCTCTCGTCGTAGCATTGCAATATTTTCACATTCCAATTAACCAACCACCATGCATGTGTTTTAAGTTTTAACATGATGTTGATGGCCACACTGCCTTGTGGATCAAAATGTGATTGCCAAACAAAGACTGTTTTATCGTGCGTGTATATCTGATTATTTTATTTGCATCACTAGGTACCTGATCCTTGGTCCACGCCTACTCCGGTTCCAGCGTACTGTCATGAGAGTATGGCTAATAATATAGGGTCTTGTTTAGATTGTAAGTTTTTTCACTCTCTCTTTATCATATTAAATTTTTGGATATATGTACGGAGTATTAAATGTAGATAAAAAAATAACTAATTACACAGTTTGATTGTAAATTACGAGACGAATCTTTTGAGCCAAGTTAGGCCATGATTGGACAATAATTGTCAAATACAAACGAAAGTGCTACGATGTCAAATACTAATTCCTAACCCAATCTAAACGAGGCCTAGCTCACTAGTAGCATGTAAATTTACAGCCCACTATCGATCCACCATATAGTACTTAGCTACTGGAACATACTTCATCATTAATGTGTAGTTCACTTTTTTGTTTTACAAAGATTTTAGGAGCTTGTGCACTTTATCTCATACTACTACAGAACAAATAATTCGTCCCGCCGGCCCATCACCCCCGGGTGTACTGGAGCTGGCAGTGATTATACTTCACTTCCAGGCTACAAGCATGGGATTCAGAATAATATGGGTCCTATTCACCTGGAAGTGAAGACCCATATTACAACCAGGTCAAGCCACGACCTGACAGTGATATATCTCTACCGGGCAGAACCACAAACCAACAGTGATATGGGGGATATCACTGTTAGGTCATGCCACCGCCCAACACTAATATGTCAATGCTAGGTCGTGGCTTGACCTGGCAGTGACAGCGCGATATCACTACCGGTTTGTTTGTTGACCTAGAAGTATCCTAATTACTGGTATAAAACTCCAAATCCCTTAGTCATCCTCCCTCCTATCACAAGAACACCCATCCACCCCACCTCTCTCTGCATTGTTGCGGCCTTTTTTCACCAAAATGCTCATGGAGGGGCTTTGTTTTTGAAGAATAGACATGATCTCCTTATTTTATGGTGGGTAACTAGCAATCATTTGAATTTTGAAGCTTGTTTTGTTTTTTATATTAATTTTTTTTATTATGCTTGTTCTTTCTCCACTTTACAAAGCTTTCTCATAGAATTCTTCGTGAGGGCATCCGAATTTTGGTGAATCCATTAATTGGTACCGCTAGTTTAAGGTTAGAACCTATGGACCCATTTAATTTGTAGCTAGTTTGTTTCTCTAAGTAAATGTGATGGCTTAGGGGCCCTTTGGCAAGGATCCTTGGAGCAAATTCTCTACGAGAATCACTCCACCCCAGCCAAACAGCAAAATCTCACACAGATTTGTTATATACACATAAGGTATTCGGTGAAATGCTTGTGAGTAAATAGCTTGCTAATTTTGATGTTTCCACTGCGCCTCTGCGCTCACAAGCCGTCTCTAAAAATACTCAGTAGCAGTGAAACTTGTAGAGGTTACCAACAACATCCAGGAGATTATCCACGTGGAGTTGTGCATCGGGGTGTCTACTGCATCTCTAGGTGGCCCTCAAGTACTCAGACGTAATATCCACAATGGACGCTCATGGAACATTGCTTGTGTGGGACTGTGTTGATGCAGTGTTTTGATATTAACACTACTGGAAACTCGAATATTTATGTGGGTGACGAATTTTTCTGTGCGTTTTTTTCGGTACGTACAGAAAAATTACGATTATTCTGTCGGTTTCAAAATACCCCGACAGAAAAATATGAAAACCCACAGAATAATTGTATGATTTTTCTGTGCGTGACAATACACACACGGAAAAATAAGCACTCACAGAAAAATACAATTTATTATGTCGGTTGTTTAAAAACGCACAGAAAAAATATATGCACGCACAGAAAAAAATAAATAAAAAAACAAAGAAAGTCACGTCTTCCTCCGCACCCGTCCCGCACCCGAACCCAGCGCCCCCTCCCCCTCCCTTCTTCTTCCTTGGCACCCGGCCCCCAGCGCCCCTCCCCTCCCTGCCGCCGCCCCTCCCCTTCTTCCCTGGCGCCACCCCTCCTCGGCCTTCTTCTTCCCCGGCGCCGCCCCTCCCTCTCCTGGATCCGGCCCTCCCTCTCCCGGATCCGGCCGGTGGAGGCCGGTGGCGGCCGGATCTGGGCTCTGGTGGTGGCGGGCGGCAGGCGGCGGGCTTCGTGGTGCTGGCGTGGTGGTGGTGGTCCCCGGCGCCGCCCCTCCCCGTCCTTCTTCCCCGGTGCCGCCCCTCCCTCTCCTGGATCCGGCCCTCCCTCTCCCGGATCCGGCCGGTGGAGGCCGGTGGCGGCTGGATCTGGGCTCTAGTGGTGGCGGGCGGCGGGCTTCGTGGTGCTGGCGTGGTGGTGGTGGTCCCCGGCGCCGTCCCTCCCTCTCCCGGATTTGGATCCGTGCAGATGAACTACATCGCTCTTCAAGAAAAGCTGCAAAGCACTATATAGGTAACAGAGCGGTAATCTAACAAGGGAATTTGGATTAAACTGGATATCTGTTGATTTGCTTATTATTCTTGCTTTTTTCTGCTTTGGCCATGTGAAGTTATTCACTTAAATGAGAGTTCGATCTGAAAACTGTGCACAAACAATTAACTCTGAAGGATGCCATATCTTGTGCCTATGTGGATAATAACCTTTTAAGTATGCCATTTTTGTATTTTTATTCTTATTGTCTATGGTTCACCGTAGGATTATGTATAATGGCTAACCACATCTTGGTTCTGTATACCTTTTGAATTCCCGAACACTCTACTTGCACTTAATATGCATTAGTGCATATGCACTACAAAAAGTATGCATACTAATTCGAGAAAAGTGTGCATGCTAATTGCCATTTATAATTTATATATGGTTTGGATACACAGTCAAGCTTGAACTCATCAGATATTTTAGAAACTGCATATGTTAGGTCAAAGCAGCTAAAATTGAGTCTATAGAAAAGAATTTCAATTTAATACATCCTACGTAGCAAAGCTAGGTGAGAGAAGCTTCGAAATATGTTCCGGAGGCTGCAAACCTTTTTCATTTGAATCATTAATCTATTGTACTATAGTTCTTCAATAGACTTGAATATATTTTTTATGTCCTACTCCTAACATGGATGCATCACTATGTTGACTAGTATAATCTCAATATTTGTGCCCTCAGTTTGGTTACTCCTTTTAGGGTGTGCTTGTGTTATGAGGCTCTGTGCTTGGAGTCTAATCTGCAGGATTTTTACTGTTACAAATTCAAATAGATTTTCAAACTAGCAACATCCAAAATTAGAACTAAGTGTCTTAATAGAGCCACCACCACAATACCAAACAGAGCCCTAATCAGCAACTTGGATGCTACACCCTACATTCTCTTGTAGAGTGGATGATTTATTACATTTTTTCCTGCAAAGAGGCTTCCTGTATTTGTTCAAAGGTTTATATTACTAATTGAGCGTTGTTGCTTTGTTGCTCGTAGAATTCTGGAAGCAAGTTCCTCCAAAAGAACCATATCGTGTCATACTTGGTGATGTCAGGGATAAATTGTACAACACACGTGAATGTTCTCGTCACCTATTGTCATCTGGAATTTCTGAGATTCCAGAGGAGGCAACTTTTACTAACGTTGAACAGGTTTGCCCTTTTTTCTATGATATACATATTAGTGACGCCTTCTATGTTGCAGTTTCGTGCCGCGCTGCTCTCCCCTTCCCTAACTATGCCTTGTGACTTTTTTTGTTTTGTACTACTCTTGAGTGGTTGTGATGAATCAAGTTTCCATTAGAGAACTTATGCACTTTAGCACCTTATTAGCTGGTACTTGGGATATTTTGTTCTGTTTGCTGCTTAACTAGGATGGCGTGTATCAGTACAAGCAACCAGTTCTGTGGCCAATTCAATTCCCATTAGAGAGAGAGAATTAAATTAAGTTCCAGGTGAAATTAAGTTGCAATTGTCATGCTAATAGTGGGTAAATCTGAGCCATTTCTCGAGTTCTTTTGCTCTTGTTCTTTTGATCCAGGTGAAATATATGTAGTTCTTGTGCTTTTGACATACTGCTCTCTAATGGATCTGGAATAACCAATAGTTTCTTTTCTATTAGCTCAGTTTAATAGAGCTCTGTGATTTCTGGAGATGGTCACTGTCTTGTGGTATTTCTTCTGTGAAATTTTGGTAATTATATACTTTTAAATGTGAAATTTCTGGAGATGGTCACTACCTGTGTGGCATTTCTTCTATGAAATTTTGGTAATTATATACTTTTAAATGTGAAATTTCTAGAGATGGTCACTGCCTGCCTGTCATTTCTTTTGCACTTGTAGATTTGTAAGTTCTTCCTGTCTCTTGCAGCTGTACTGCTTTGTGAAGGCTAGAAGTAATTTTGTTTGCTTGACTGGATCCTGCATTAGACTTGGCATTTGGTCTTTCAATTCCATCTCCAGCATTCCAAGCATTGCCTGATGGTGGCATCACATTGTTATAGGAGGAATCATGGTCAGCATTTGTCTTCTTTCGTTTGTAAGTGCTTGGCTGCTCCTCCCATTGGCAGTTACCATCTGCCTTGTTTTTGCCCATTCCAGTTGCTGGGATGCTCCCAATTGCCATGGCCATCATCAGACTTCTTCTCTCAGGCACCATCACCTCCATCTTCTTTTCTTTTGTCCCATGTATTTTCTGATTTGCCCCATGGGTCATTTTTATTTGATGCCTCCCCAATCAGT